CCCTGTGCTTTGCCAAGTTTGTTCCAAGTAGGTGCTTTAGACCACTGAGCCATCTCACCAGCCCTGGAAAGCTAGATTAAGTAAGTTTTCCTATGGAATTTGAGGTCTGAGGTTTGTCTTTTTAGCTTGGCATGAATGTCAGGAACAGATAGGGATATAAAATAAGAATAATAATTTTTTTAGGAGAATCTGGGTCTATATTAGTATTATTAGTTTGGAGCAATACACTTCATTATTAGAATTTTATCTGAATATCAAGTACCTTGAAATATAAAGTGTAAAAACAAGCAAAACAACAACAAAAGAAATATAAAGTGTAACCAGAGAACTATTATTTCCTATGAACCATGGAAATGTTAGCAGTTAAATCCCTGTAGAATATTTTTTTGTTTTGTTTTGGTTTTTTTTGGTGGAACCGGGGATTGAACTCAGGCCCTTGCGCTTGCCAGGGAAGCGCTTATTCCACTGAGCCATCTCCCCGGCCCCCTCCCTGTAGAATGTTAATGGACAACAGTCATATAATTTTGTAGAAATCATTTGACATCAGTAGTTATAGATAGGGATCAAGGAGATGGCTCAGTAGAATAAGACCTTCCCTGGCAGGCGAAAGGGCCTGAGTTCAATCCCTGGTGCTGAAAAAAAAAAAAAAAAAAAAAAGTCATAGATAGCAGGGTAGCATAACAGTCACATAAAATCCCCATTTTTTGTTTGTTTGTTTGTTTGTTTTTGGCGGAACCAGATATTGAACTCAGGCCCTTGCACTTGCCAGGCAAGCACTTATTCTACTGAGCCATCTCCCTGCCCCCCCCCATTTTGTTTCTGCATCTCTATTTCTATTTTAGGGAAGGGTCTGCAGGGTGTTCAGGGTCTCACTAATAGATCAGACTTGTAGTAACCTGCCTGTTTATAGCCTCCCAAGAGCTGGGGTTATAGGCACACACTACCATGCTCAGTCTCAATTGCAGTCTCAGCAAGCCCCGGGGGTGGGGCCAGCATGGCAGGCCTGGGAATTGAACCCCTGGCCCCTGCAGATGCTTTAATCTGCTGAGCTATTTGGCCAGCCCTGTTTTTGCATCTGTAAATGTACGTAAGATATATATCACATAA